GGAAATGAAAAAAAAAACTCTATTGCTAAAATATTGATTTTAGAGATTTTTTTTTATAGGATCGGGTGACAAACGAGCACAGTCCACCTGATGGTAAGTGGTTACTGTGACCCATAGACATCTACATCTATCCTCAATAAAGACTCAAGATGCAACTGCGTTGTCACCCGTGAGGACTAAGATGGAATGCCTCTTTTCTAGTAAAAAGGGCCTCCGGTTCTCTACACTCACCATACGAAACACAGCAGCGTTAAGCCGCTATTTTACGCTGGTTTTTTGTGAGAGCGTGGTCCTTCCCCGGTCGAGCCGACCTATTCGTGCTATAACCATAATATAAGCTGCAGCATGGCTCTACCACGTAGAAAAAGATATAAACGATATAGTTACTAAACTCCACAGAGTTAGTAACTAATTTATGAGGCCACTATATAAGGCAAGTAAGCACAACCAACCTAAAAAAAAACTAAAAATGTCATTTAACAAATCTATACATTAAAGAATACACATTTACAATAAAATAAATTTAAGCCCATCTAAGTCCTCAGGTGTGGCAACACCTCTGCATTTTCTTTCCAAATTTAGGTTGAATGTAGGTGTCTATGCTTTTGTAAGATGTGGTTCACGGCAGTAGTCAAATCCGCAACCTTTTAATTTCGTTGTTCGTCTCGTAACCATCAGTCTACGATCGATTAACCGAGTAGTGGCGGTGTAAGAATATCCACTACCCCATATCGTCCCGTGGGTGTCGTAAAATACAACAGAGGGAAACTGAAACAAGTAGCATCTTCCTGATAACAACTCAAAATAATAAAAAAAAAACTGCGGTTGCAGACCCGCCTGCCAAGTGTGGCAACTATAGCAAAATTCTCCCAATGATGCAATTTTTAGGGAAAGCCTATATATGCAGCAGTGGACTTTTATAGGCAGTTATGAAAAAAAATATTGAATTAAACGTAGTTGTCACGTGGCCACAGAATTCTGTCAAGTGAATGTTCTTGCCTTACTTCTGTTTTAGTTTTTATTTTATTCAGAAAACTTCTTATTTTTATAATAAAAGTATAATATAATGAAATTATTATACCATTTACAAGTTTCCACTTTTAGAATTAAAAAGAAACATAATTACGTCCATAGTTTGTATGAGTGGCTATAGCTATGTATAGAATTTCTATAAAAAAAATTAAAGCAACTTACTTTTAAAATTTCAGTAAAACCATAATCTTTACTAATGAGAATATCCTTCTCGGCGTCGAGTATTGCGACGCATATCAATAAATGGAAGTTAGCGCATGGCAACCCTGTCCACAGTACTTCCCATAGCCTGAAATTAATTTTTCTGTTAATAAACAGAGATCCACAAATATTAAATAAATATTATACATGATATAAATCAAAGAAAATACCTCATGATATCTCTGTGAGAGAACTCTCTTTTGAACCAAACAAGCAGCCATCGGAAACAGAAGTACATGTTGCCGGAGTCTTTCTGCGCCAGATGATGGGCTAGTTCAGGACTCGCGAAGGTGAGGAGTTGTTGCAAATGCAACAGTTGTTGTTTCATGCCAGCTTGGTCCATGTCGAAGTTTGGTGCCTGCAATATTTCATTACAGTTATTTAAAAACCGAGTATTGGCGGTGTAAGAATATTCACTACCCACTATTATCCCATAGGTGTCCTAAGAGGCGATAGAGGGAAACAGATTAGGAGATGGGCTGTAGCGCCTTCCTATAACTCCTAAAAATAAAAACTGCGGTTGCCAACCCGCTTGCCAAGCGTTGGCAAATGTCCTTCCTACGAGGTAATCTATGAGGGAAGTCTATGTTCAGCAGCGGACTTTAATAGGCTGCAAGGATAATGGTGAATTAAAAAATCATTTGTTCACCACATATGGGAGACGGAAACAGTAAAACGAACGTACTCACATGCACACACACGCACACGTGTGTGTGCGTGTGTGTGTATACGTACTTAGAATGGCACGTTGTAATTTTTTTAAAACAAACCCAATGCAAGATATTCTAATAGTGAAGCAAAGCCTAATCTTTATTTTATAATTATGTAGGAAATATAATTGAGAATATACATTTTTTTTCATTCATTACAGCTCTTCACAAGTCCACTGCTAAACATAGGTCTCCCCCATGGAACGCCACGAAGCACGCTCCCGAGCCATCCATCAACTTCCTGCATGTCTTACCAGGTCGTCATTTCATCTAGTGGGGGGGGGGGGGGGGGTACGAGGCTACCACTCGAGAACCTTTTTTCCCCCATCGATTGCCGGTTCTTCGAGCTATATGGCCAGCCCATTGCCACTTCAACTTACTAATCCGTTGGGCTATGTCAGTTACTCTGGTTCTACTGCGGATATCCTCGTTTTTAAGTCTATCATGCAAAGAAACCCCGGCATAGTCCTCTCCACAGCTCCCTGAGCGACCTTCAGCATCCTCATACGTCCAGCAGTGAAGAACCAAGTCTCAAACCCATAAGTCATCACTGGCAACACGCACTGGTTGTACAATCTAGTTTTGAAGTATTGAGGAATGTCTGACGTGAAGATGTGTCGTAATCTCCCGAATGCTGTCCAGCCGAGTTGAATCCGTCGATTGATCTCTCGGTCGAAGTTAGACTTACCTAGTCGGACTATTTGTCCCAAGTAAACATACTCGTCAACAACTTCGAGCTTCATGCTCCCAACAACTACCGGCATAGATAAAAGAAAATAATAAATGTGTTTTGGTATTAATAATGTTTGGGATGGAATAGAATCTATTACTAATGAAAACGGCAAGAGGAAATTGTCTTTATAAAGTAAAGTTTAATCTGAAAATCATGAAAATATAGCCAAGTCAAGCCTAATCGACTGACTAGTATAAATTTCATACAGTTGATTTATACAGAGGCTGAAGTCCTTACTTATTAGGTGTTAAGGCTGTTGTAAAAGTCATGTGAGAGAAATTTCCAGAAAATCTTACTCTATTAAAACAGTACTCACAATTCTGTCCATGAAACCAGCAAAGCACCAAAAACTGTCCACTTCATTGCCTAACAACAACAATATTGGAGCCAGTATGTCACTCATTCCTTGTACATATCCTAAATCAAAATTGTACATCACATAGGTCATTAGAATATCCTGTAGGACGACTAAGTTAGGGTTATTGTCTCCTGTAAAAAACGGATGTGTCCTATCTGTTCTATTCACATCCTTTTCAACCAGACTCTTCCGGTCTCTGTACTCAGAAAACCTCGATTCTTGGCCTTCTGTCATCGATCTCCATTGCAACTTCATTGAAAAGTATTCTTCTGTCTTCCGTCGCTGTAGGTTCTTTATTTCTGAATGACCCATGTTCCATGGATAGTAATCTAATAGGTATTTCCATACTGCATGTCTTATAGAGTGAGCTACACCCTGAAAATTTTGAATTATCGTTTAACCAGTGGTAAAATTAAAAAAAAATTGTACAACCGACTTCAACATGTAGTTGAAGTCAATTAAATACGCATTATTAAGGATAAATCAAAAACTACTAGCCAGATTTTGATTAAATTTATATGGGACCAAGTTTGAGAAGCACCAGGTTTAAAAAAAAAGAATCATCAAAATCAGTTCACCTTGAATAAAGTTCTGAGGTAACACACATAAAAATAAATACAAATTGATACTTCCTCTTTTTATATGTCTATGGGCCACAGCAACCACTTACCATCAGGTGGACTGTGTGCTCGTTTGTCACTCTTATCCTATGAAAAAAAATGTTGAGCTGTGAAATTTTAAGGGTTGATGAAGAAATACAACGACCTTACAACAATCCATTGCTTATTTCATAATTCCCTTATCATTATCTGCATTTAAAAAGTAAAGTACATGCCAACATTCATGCTACAATAACAGGAGAGCGCCCTGAGCTGCCACGGCTCTTAGACAAACTTTTACAATACAAAGAAATAAAGAATATTCATGGCGGTGAGAAAAACTAATTAAAAAATCTCAAACACTGTCCTTTTTATCTTTTAAATTCAAAATGCCTGGTAATGCATTATTTTAACTGATTTTACTGCGCACGCACACATTCGTAAGGGTCGATCGGTAGGCAAAAACGTTGTTGCGCACAAATCACATTCAATTTGGGATAATTTCAAATAAAAGTAGAAGCCTTCTTTACTCGTATTTGCAAAAAGTGCAATAACGGTATATCATTATTAATATTTTGAACATAAGTTTAAAATTTGGGTACTCTTTGAAAAAACAACCCTGTATAATTGTAATGTTGCGTGCTGGGTAAGGCTCAAATTTTTTGCGCAGTCACACATTGGAAATTACAACGGAATGTGTCAAAAAGAAAAAACGTTGTACAACGGAATTTGTAAAGTGTAGTGCACATGGGTTGTAAAATATTTTTGTACATAAACTGTTTGTTTTAATTTTATTTATAAATCAATAATAATAATTAAGTATACTTACGTCACTACTAACGGGTAACGGCTGCCTAGAATATACCCCTTGAAATAGTAAGGGAGATCAATTACATAGTCTTAGCTCATTACAATTGCATAGTGCGAGATGGCGGACCTGATCCTGTGATCCGGGTATACCCTGGACGTAAGTACTTAATTACCTACATAATTATTGGGGTATACTATTAAATAAAACTAATATAATATGCAAAAGTCGATGGATGCAGGTGGCTCAGGACCGTGCTTTGTGGCATTCCTTGGGGGAGGCCTATGTTCAGCAGTGGACTTGTGAAGGGCTGTAATGATGAATGATGATGAATATGCAAAATTCAAAAATATTTATTAAAAAAAGAGTCTAGATAGATGATACAAGGTGTTAACAGTATCGAAAAATGTAATATATTGAGAGTTGTATACTCTTAAATATTTCGTCACAATCTTCAGTTAAACTGTACTCTCCTGATTTCTCAAGTGCAGTTAATTTAACTTTTTTAACTATTGAAACGTTGGTAACAATTTTAATATCTTTATTTTTCGGTATTTTTATGAATTTTATATAACGATCTTGTTCTTTAATTGTCTTTACAAAATGAATTTCATAAAATGTGTTTGATTTCACATATTTGATTTCAATCTTATCAATAAAGCCTACGCAATATTTCCAGCTCTTTCTTTGGTAGTATCTTACTAATATACTGTCTCTTATTTTATATAGTTCAGGCACATCTGGGTTGTTGTGTTTGTGTTTGCTGTGTTTTCATGTAGTAATTTACTACGATATTTGCGACGTTGCCTATTATCAATATTGGGTACGACTAGCTTTTCCACCTTTTCGTCTTTTTTATTGCGTTTAGCTACCCGCCATTGCTTTCTCGCCATTCTTTACTCATATTCGCTATTTTTAATTTTTTTGCGCTTTGTTCTCTCAGCATTCTTCTTTTTCTGAACGGAGATTTTCTAAGGCATCTGAAAAATATTGATTATCAAATAGATTATCAAAAAATTCAATTGCATTTTTTTGCATTTTAATATGATTTTTTTCATTCATTCAATGCATTTTAATATGATTTCATAAATTGAGTAGAAAGTTGATAGGTACACAGCTTTACGATTTCCATTGTGACACGTCACACAATTTCGTGTCATACGTCGCACAACGGAGCAAATATTCTACACAACTTAGCCTAAAAAAAATCATAATTCATGAAATTTACTATATTGCTCATTCTAATTGTTATATTTTGATAATTAAATACATGATAGATATGATTTACTCTCTTAAATCAGGATAACCATTTCAATTTCGAAAATATAACAAAGTAAACTTACAATTTCTTAATGACACGTAGCGACGTCCGACACGTTCGTCCATCTGACGCAAAAACAAAATGGCGGAAGCATCCAGAAGTTAGTCCAATTTCATGGGCCTGTGTTGCCACTTTAACTATATGGGCAGTTCCATGGTAGAATAGAAATAAATCCCAAATCAGCGTTGCACAACTGAAGTGTCACACTGGATTGAAATTTAGGACATTTTGAAATTAATAAATATATAATTAAAACGCGTTGATAATATAATTAGCTTGTTTTAGTAAAATTAAACCTTTCATATTCTATAGGCCATAAAATACGCAGACTAAAACAACAACGGTTTCTCAAAAATTTCGAATAGTTTTTGAAAAGTGTACGTACACGGACATCAACAAATTGTATGGGAGGAAAATATGAACATTATTATTTTTAATTATAAAATAGGGATATTATGGAATAACATTTAAATAAAAAAACAAACACGATGAAAAATAGCTAATTTCCTTGAGTTAATAATAAAAATAAAGTATTTATTATTTTTGATATTTTATTTCTTCTCTTCAATTTCTCGGACAGCGCATTTTTAGATAGTGCGCGAAAAATTTGAGCCTTACCCTGCTACCTTTTTTCAAATTATTATAACACTATACATTATAGAACTCACCCCTCTAAATATAAGTTGTTTTACCCCATCAACCTCAGCGACCCTTCCTTCAGTGTCTTGTAAACCTTCCCACTTCTCCGTGGATAGTGGAGTGCCTCTGTAAATTACCATACTTATTATTTTAAAAGAAGTTGCTAAGTTAAACGTCTGTTCAATCTCTACATAATATAAAACAAAGTCCTTCCCGCCGCATGTACGCTTAAGAGTTTTTAAACTACGCAACGGATTTTGATGCGGTTTTCATCAATAGAATGATTCAAGAGGAAGATTTATCTGAATAATACATGCATATTATATAATACTTCTGTCCGTGCATATGTGACTGAACTCCTAAACGATTGGAGTGAAGTTTTGTGTGTGTGTGATTAAGGTTATTAGAGAATAGTTTAGATTCACAATTGGACCCGGTAGGTGGCGTTGTTGTAGAGATCCGTGAAATCAACCGTGCGAAACCTGGGCGGATCGAGAAATGATTCTTAAAAATGGCGCATGTTCTAAATAAGAAGATGGGTGTAGTCGCATTTCATTGTATACCCATGATCAACTTCCCATTGAATGGTGGTTTAAAACTTAATCATTAATTGAATTTGAAATATAAGAAATTATTAATTAAGCAATTAATTGTGTCAAATGAAATTGGTTTGGAGATTTTATGATTTCTTCACTAGATATGCAGTCGAAAACAGTTATTAACATATAAACGCGCACAGAGACAGGTATCCTTTTACAAAAGTACAATCGGTCTCTATGAACCTTAACCTTAACATAGAGATATAACATTGAAATCAGTTGTAATTATATTAAATTTCAACTGTCTTTTATATCTTTCTAAACCGCTAACTACATTCAAGGTACAAGACATCTGTAATACCGTAAATTTTTGATTCATATTTCGTAACTTTAAATTTTTTTAAACGAAACAAATTTTTTGGTATTTGGAAATCCAAGCATACCACTGCAAGACTTCAAGATACTGTTAGCTCATTCTGCGTAGATCGGACCAAAAATTAATATTCAAAAACAGAAGATAGCCAGGCTATGACATTGGGACGTCAAACATTTCAGTCAACCCCGTGACCATGGGTAAAGTAAACCACCCATAACGTAAGGAATTATAAAATTTAATCAAACGCGGTATAATATCCGTACAATTAGTCTCATTTAATGTGTAGTAGTAGTGTTCGCGTATATATAAGAAATCATTTTTAAATATTTTTTTTATTTATTACAAAAAAATCAACATGTACGTCTAAAAACTTTAGCTCCAAGAACGTGTCTCTCACTTTCATGTAACCTTTTTTTTATAGGATAGGGTAACAAACGAGCATACAGTCCACCTGATGGTAAGTGGTTGCTGTGACCCATAGATGTCTACATTTATCCTCAATAAAGAATCAAAATGCAGATGCATCGTCACCCGTGAGGACTAAGATGGAATGCTTTCTTTCCAATAAAATGGGTCTCCGGTTCTCTACACTCACTGTACGAAACACGGCAGTGTCAAGCTGCCATTTTACGTTGGTATTCTGTGAGAGCGTGGTCCTTCCCCACGCTCTCACAGAATAGCTGCAGCATGGCTCTACCACATATAAAATCTTATCATTTATTCCTCCATTCCGCTAATCAATCATTCTTTGCCGTATATACCTTCACTCAACCCTTAAAATTGTAGTTTACTTTCTTTAAAAAAAAATTATCATTAATAAATCTTGACAAATGGCAAAACCAGGTCAGTATAACTATGTAGTCAAATGCATTTTGTTAAAATAGCGTTTATTCGAAAACGTTAATCCATATTGTTTACAGCTGTACCTGGGAATGCAAGGCCGTGGAGGGAGCGTGGGTTTCACACTGATCACTTCATACTCATCGCTCTTCGTTGTTGTAGTAGTGTCTTCCATCGCACTTATACTCTTTGTCAGCAAGTCCGCTACCTCCTCTGACATATCCCTCTTGTCGTTCATTGCCTCATTGCCATTGTATACTGAAATTTGATTAGAAGCGTCTAACTGGCCTAAGAGTGAAGTAAATAAAATTAATTAAGGCTTCTTTCCATCCATCCATCCATACAGCCTATAGAAGTTCACTGCTGAACATAGGTCTCCCTCATAGTAGCCACACTTGGCAAGCGTATTGTGAACTGCAGTTTTTTGTTATTTTGAGTTTCTATTGGGAAAATGCTACCGCTCATCTCCTGTTTCATTTTCCCTCTGTCGCCTCTTCTTACAGCGGCATCTTCCTGATACAATCTGAAAATGATAAAAAAACTGTGTTTGCCAACCTATCTATAAACGTGGCAACTATGACAAAATCCAACCTATGAGGCAATGTATGGGAGAGAGCTTTGTTTAACAGTGAACTTTTATATGTTTTAACGAATGGATGACTAGATAGATCAAAAATTTCACTCATTATACAATGTCTGGACTAATAGCTGTGCATGCATTTAGTAATGGTAAGTTCAAACTTTTTTCGAATCGAAAGAAATTAATTTAAAAATAATATTATCATTAACCATTTCCTCACTTTCAGTCTGATGGGACAGTAATCCGAGACGACTGACGTAGATCACACATAGGACCAACTACTTTTCGTGCTTTCCGATACACGGGTTGAACAATCAAGTCAGAGCTACTAATGAGAATTTTTTGATACAGAAATGCAACAGATTTTTGCCTGTCTCCAGAATTGAATCTGGAACCACATGATCAGCAGTCGCACTTACGAACAGACAGACGAACGAAGCAAAAAAATATATAGGACTTTTTATACTTTGAATGCAAATACAATAAAAGAAAATTAATTAGCCCTCAGGGCTCGATTCTCGGCCCATTCCTATTTCTAGTGTATATTAATGACTTACCTTCTCTTGTAGGGGATAATCATGATATAGTATAATTTGCTGATGATACTTCCTTGATTTTTAAACTTAAACGTCAATCATTTAAATGTGACGAAGTGAATAATGCTATATCAAAATTAGTGCATCGGTTTAACGTTAATAATCTACATTTAAACGGAAATAAAACTAAATGTATTAAATTTACAACAACGAATGTTAAAAATCTGAGTACCAATGTGTTTTTAAATGGGGAAGAACTGAGCCCTGTTGAATCCACTGTTTTTCTTGGCATCACTCTCGACGCAAAGCTTCAGTGGGGCCCCCATATGTCCAAACTAGCAAACAGACTAAGCTCTGCAGCCTATGCTGTAAAAAAGATTAGAAGTCTCACTAGTGTCAAGACTGCTAGATTAGTTTATTTCAGTTATTTCCATAGCATAATGTCTTATGGGATTTTGCTATTGGGAAATGCGGCTGATTCAGAAACTATTTTAGGGTGTAAGGGGTTCCGCTAAGATCTTGGAGCCCAAGCCAACCCCGCCTGCACGTGGCGCACCTGCTGGATAACGGAAAGGGCTCTGGCGATGCCACTCCTCTGGGATTCGTCCTAAGGGTTCGGGGGTCAGACGGCAGTCGCCCTGGTAATTGGCACTAAACCACTCAAAAATGGACGGTAAAAGAAAGATAAATACGTTTAGGACTAGGGCGTCGCCGCATAACGACGCGCATGGGGATCGCCTTAACCCTGCGACAAGTATGCGAGGGCTACCGGGCCCCGTGCGAGCCCGGCTAAAGACGTTAGCACCAACTACGAAGATTCGCTTTGCAAACTGGAACATTGGCACGCTTACGGGACGTTCCGCAGAACTTGCGGCCATACTTGCCAGGCGTAAAGTGGCAGTGGCATTCCTGCAGGAGACACGGTGGAAGGCCAACAGGAGCCGGAATATTGGGCACGGCTACAAGCTGATATATACAGGCTCCTCTGGTGGAGAGAACGGTGTGGCAGTGGTGCTCGCCGAGCATTTCCACGATAGCGTCTTGGAAGTTAGACGCATATGCGACCGACTTATGGTAGTAAGGTTGCTTATTGAGGGGGTCGTGACCCACTTAATAAGTGCCTACGCCCCACAGGTCGGCTGCAGCGACGCGGATAAAACGCTGTTTTGGGATCGGCTCGGAGATGTACTACGCGGCATACCGTTGTACCACGATGTCGTTTTGGGTGGCGACCTGAATGGTCATGTGGGCGAGGTGCAGGGGGAGTATGAACGTGTCCACGGCGGCTATGGTTACGGCCGAAGAAACGCAGAGGGGGAAACCATTCTCAGAACCTGCACTGCAGCTGACCTGGCCGTGGTGAACACGTTCTTCAAAAAGAAAACCGAGCACCTGATTACCTACAGGAGCGGTCGGAACGCCACTCAAATCGACTATCTACTGACCAGGAGAAGTCATATCAGTCGCGTGGCCAACTGTAAGGTCATACCCGGTGAGTGTCTCACTGCCCAACACCGACTTCTTGTCATGGACCTCTGCGTAAAACCCCGTCGCAGACACGCCGAACGTTGCCGCCGTCAAATCAAGTGGTGGCTGCTGGATCAAACCAGATACTCAGAGTTTGACTCTGCCGCTGGAGATATTAGTCTCGACACAGCAGGCAAGTCCGTCCAAGAGTGCTGGAAAACCATTCAGACAGCAATCACAAAGACGGCAAAGCAAGTTCTCGGCGTGGCGAAAGGGGGCCGCAAAATCGACAAGGAGACCTGGTGGTGGGACGCCACAGTCCAGGGTTCATTACGGGAGAAGAAAGCGCTCTTCAAGACGTGGCAAGTGACCAAATCTCCTGAAGATCGCGCATCTTACAAGACTGCGAAAAGAGCTGCCAAGAAAGCTGTAGCCAGAGCCAGGCGTGACCACTTGCAACCATTATATGCTAAGTTGGACACTCCTGAGGGGCACAAGCTCATATATAATCTGGCGCGCTCTAGGGCCAAAGCAGCGCAAGATATTACTCGCTGCTGCAGCGTCAACGGCCCTAATGGCGAGCTCCTGTACGATGATCGTGCGGTGAAGGAGAGATGGCGCTCTTATTTCCACGTTTTGCTGAATACTCAGCACCGGGAAGTGCACCCTCCCGAACAACTCCCGAACCATGGACTCGTGCCACCGATTACACCTGACGAGGTCCTCGCATCTGTCGGACCGGACGAGGTGCCAATTGAAGCGTGGAAAGCGCTGGGGGCTCGTGGTGTGTGCATTCTTACTAACCTTTATAATAGAATCCTGAGCGACCGAATAATGCACGATCAGTGGCGGCTTAGTATAATAACGTGGTCCACAAGGGTAAAGGGTCCGTTCAGGATTGCGGTAATTACCGCGGTATAAAGGTAATGTCACACACCATGAAGCTCTTCGAGCGCATTATTGACACCAGGATCCGACAGGAGTGTACAGTGTCGGACTTCCAGTACGGTTTCCAACCAGGACGCGGTACCATGGACCCTATATTCGCCCTAAGGATCCTCATGGAGAAGCACAGGGAAAAGAATATGCCTCTGCATTTTTTATTCCTAGACCTGCAGAAGGCCTTTGACTGTGTTCCTAGGGAGATGATCTGGTGGGCGTTGCGGTCGAAGTTGGTACCAGAGACCTACGTGGAAATCGTACGTGACATGTACCGCAACTCCGATTCAATAGTTAGGACCGCTGTTGGTGATACCACCCCCTTCCCCATAACCATAGGCGTGCATCAGGGCTCCGCCTTAAGCCCCTATCTTTTCAGTGTGATATTAGACGAACTGTCAGCCAGCGTACAGAAACTGCCGCAGCCTTGGCTGCTTATGTACGCTGATGATATCGCACTGGTAGATGGGGACAAAGGACGGCTCACCAGACGCGTGCACGCATGGAGGGAGGCGCTTGAGAACGGCGGGCTGAAGCTAAACGTGGCGAAGACGGAGTATATGGCCTGCAACAGCACAGATCTGACGTCTCTCCGTATAGGCGACGACACCGTTGAGCGCACGGACTACTTCAGGTACCTCGGATCTGTGCTTGATGCGTCCGGTGACATCGATCGCGACATCAAGGCCCGTATATCAGCGGCTTGGGCGAAATGGCGCGAGGTGACGGGTATCATTTGTGACCCCAAAATGCCGGTCAAGCTGAAGGGACAGGTCTATAAGACCATCATAAGGCCTGTCCTTACGTACGGCAGTGAGGCGTGGCCGGTGCTGGAGCGACACCGGCAGTTGTTGCATGTCACGGAGATGAACATGCTGCGGTGGATGTGTGGCGTCACGCGGAAAGACCGTGTACGGAATACATACATCCGCGGCAGCCTCCATGTCCGTGACATTGCTGACAAGCTGCAGGAAAGTCGCCTCCGCTGGTACGGCCACGTCTTACGACGACCAGCAAGCTACGTGGGAAACAAATGCCTGGACATGACCTTACCTGGTACCAGGAGTAGAGGACGGCCCAAGAAACGCTGGCTTGATGTCGTGCAGGATGACATGCGCGCCAATGGGCTAGTTGTGAGGGACGCCGAAGACCGGGCAAAGTGGAGGAGGAAGTGTTGGAAAGCGGACCCTGGGTTCTCCCGCGCTGGGCGGGATGAGCAACCGGGATAAACGCGAGGTAGAAGAAGAAGAAGAAGACTAGTGTCAAGACTGCTAGATTAGTTTATTTCAGTTATTTCCATAGCATAATGTCTTATGGGATTTTGCTATTGGGAAATGCGGCTGATTCAGAAACTATTTTTGTATTACAGAAGAGGGCCATTAGAGCTATTTACAACCTAAAACCGAGAGAGTCTATTAGAGATAACGTTGGTAGAGCCCCGCAGCAGTTTTTTTGCTGTTGCACGTATGGGCAGGCTCGAGCCGGGTTGGTACCACGACCTCACAGAATACCGGCGTGAAGTAGAGGCTCTGCTTCTGCGTTTCGTCTGGTGAGTGCAGGTGGCCGGAGGCCCAATTCCCCCCCCCCCCCCCCCCCCCCCCCATCAACATGGTAGCGGAATTACAAAGTAGACTACCCCAGGAGGGTACCAGTACCCCTGGAGAATCCCTCGCTGAGCATCCACGACCATGTTATTCCAATCCTGAGCGTGGGTGCTCAGGCTGCCCCGCGTATTCTGGGGGGGGCAAAATTCCGCTCAAAAACAAAACTGCTTGGGGCAAACTGAGCAACAATACCAAGGCGACCCCTGCCACGCTATCCGTGAATTTCTGCAACATCAGGGGACTTCACTCTAACCTAAACGCCGTCCACTACCATCTCGAGACGGCGAAGCCGGCCTTGCTCTTTCTGACCGAGACGCAGGTTTCCTCTCCGGCTGATATTTCGTATCTCTCCTGCCCGGGGTACAAATTGGAGCACTCCTTTGTGCCTCGGGCTGGAGTTTGCGTGTATGTCAGAGAGAACATCTGTTCTCGACGCCTCGGCAGTCTTGAAGGTTCGGACCTGTCCATCCTTTGGCTACGCGTAGACAGCGACGACCATCCGCGCGTCTACGGGTGCCTCTATAGGTCCCATAGCGGTAATGCCGAAACAGACCGACTCATCGACCACGTCCAAATGGCTACAGATTCCTTGCTACCACAGGTCCCATCCGCAGAGATCGTGATCCTTGGCGATTTTAACGCCCACCATGCCGAATGGCTCGGTTCACGTTTAACCGATCATGCGGGGAGATCTGTTTATGACTTTGCTTTGGCATATGGTCTGACACAACTGGTTACTTCGCCTACACGGATTCCAGATGTGGAGGATCATACACCTTCCCTGTTGGACCTTCTGCTGACCTCTCATCCGGACGGATATCAGGTTTCCGTCGATGCCCCTCTCGGCTCTTGGGACCATTGTCTGATCCGGAGTATGGTGCCACTCACGCTCCCTTCGCGGTTGCGTTCTGCAGGTTGCCGCCGTGTTTGGCATTACAGGTCGGCGGATTGGGACGGAATGCGGTCTTTCTTTGCATCCTACCCATGGGGGCGTGTTTGCTTCTCGCCGGATGATCCCAGCGCTGTTGCTGACTCTGTCACTGATGTGGTGCTACAGGGAATGGAACTATTTATTCCATCATCTGTGGTACCCATTGGAGGCAGATCTCAGCCTTGGTTTGGTCGCTCCTGTAAGACTGCATTGCGCAGAAAGCAGGAGTGTTATCAAGCCTGGGCTGCGGCTTCGGTGACTCGGGATGTAAACACCAGCACACTTAAAAAGAAGTATAACTTCGCCTCCAGGTCCTTCAAAAGAGTTATTGCCAAGGCAAAGTCTGAGCACATAGGCAGAATTGGCGAGAAACTAGTTCGCCTTCCTTCGGGAACCCGTGCATTCTGGTCTCTCGCCAAGGCTGTCCAAGGGAATTTCTGTAAGCCATCACTACCATCTCTGCACAGGGAGGACGACTCACTGGCCCACGACGCAAAAGAGAAGGCCGACCTTTTAGGCTCCCTTTTTGCGTCCAACTCGACTGTTGATGACGGGGGGAACACACCGCCGACCATCCCGCGGTGTGAGTGCTCTATGCCGGATGTGCTATTCTCACAGCGCTCGGTTCGCAGAGCACTCCTCTCCCTTGACATCCACAAGTCGAGTGGGCCTGACGGAATCCCCCCAATTGTGCTGAGGACGTGTGCTCCGGAGTTGGCACCGGTTCTAACGCGTCTTTTCCGGTACTCCTACTCCCATGGCGTTGTCCCGAACTCATGGAAGACAGCTTTTGTCCACCCGATCCCTAAAAAAAGGCGACCGCTCAGACCCGTCCAACTATAGGCCTATCGCGATCACCTCCTTGTTCTCCAAAATAATGGAATCCATTATTAACTGCCAGCTCATCCGGTACCTTGAGGATCACCAGCTGATCAGTGACCGCCAATACGGTTTTCGTCGGGGTCGATCAGCTGGTGATCTTCTAGTCTACCTGACCCATAGATGGGCGGAGGCAGTAGAGTCCAAGGGGGAGGCGTTGGCCGTTAGTCTGGACATTGCGAAGGCCTTCGATCGGGTTTGGCACAAAGCGCTTCTTTCGAAGCTCCCTTCCTATGGGCTTCCCGAGAAATTGTGCAATTGGATCACCAGCTTCCTTGCAGATCGGAGCATCAAGGTCGTTGTAGACGGTGCATGTTCTGACTACAAGCCTATTAACGCTGGTGTTCCACAAGGCTGTGTGCTATCACCAACGCTGTTTCTTCTGCATATCAATGATATGTTGCTAACTGGTAACATTCATTGCTATGCGGATGACAGCACTGGTGATGCTCTATACACCGGCCGGGCCAATATTTCTCGGGAAAACGTCGCCGAGTACCGGAACAAACTTGTGTCTGAAGTCGAGTCTTTGCTGGACAAAGTCTCGGATTGGGGGCGACTAAATCTAGTCTAGTTTAATCCTCAGAAGACACAAGTTTGCGCGTTTACCGCTAAAAAGAACCCCTTTGTCGTATCTCCTCAGTTTCAAGGCACTCCCCTTCTTGCCTCAGCCAGTATCGGTATCCTCGGAGTCGACATATCGAGTGACGTGCAGTTTCGTGGTCACTTGGAAGAGAAGGCCAAATTGGCCTCTAAAAAGCTTGGCGTGCTCAGCAGAGCGGGACAGTATTTCATGCCGGCACACCGCCTGCAACTTTACAAGGCGCAGGTTCGGCCTCACATGGAATACTGTTCCCATCTCTGGGCAGGGGCTCCCCAGTGCCAGCTCCTTCCACTTGACCGCATCCAGCGCAGAGCGGCTCGAATCGTCGACGACCGAGCCCTTTCCGATCGGCTCGATTCATTGGCACTGCGAAGAGATGTTGCATCTCTTTGCATTTTCTTTCGCATCTACCATGGGGAGTGCTCTGAGGAATTGTTCGGATTAATCCCAGCCGCCAAATTTCATGAACGCACATCGCGGCAGAACTCCCGATACCATCCACACCATCTGGATGATTGGCGGTCCACCACTGTGCGATTTAGAAGATGTTTTCTTCCTCGCACGACTTCCTTGTGGAATCGATTACCATCAGCGATTTTTCCGGACCGATACGACTTAGGGACCTTCAAGAAAAGAGCCTACTCCTTTTTAAAAGGCCGGCAACGCATCTGCAATTCCCCTGGTGTTGCGGTTGTTCATGGACGGCGGTAGTCACTTACCATCAGGTGAGCCGCATGCTCGTTTGCCCCCTCTCCTATAAAAAAAAAAAAAAAAGATAAATTTAAAGAAATAAAAATATTAACTTTGGCCTCTCAGTATATTTACGAAAATTTAATGTATGTTCACAAAAACAATGGTAATTTTAGTAAAAAAAGTGATATACATTCTGTAAACACTAGGAACAAACACAAGCTAGTGATACCAGTTTGTCGACTCCACAGAGTCGGTAATTCATTCTTGGGGCAATGAATACGCTATTACAACAAGGTCCCGGAAAGTGTACAGACTCTCTCTATTACCACGTTTAAATGTTTTGTTAACTTGAAACTGTATAAAAAGGGTTATTATAGTATAAATGAATACATGGTTGATAATAACACCTGGGAGGTGGTAGCTTCCAAGCTGTTTCTAAAATAAATTTTGTATTTATATAGTTTGGATAACCATTAATGTAAAATTTGCTTTTAAAAAAAAGTCCCGCTGGATTTCTTGCTGGTTCTTCCCAGGACCAGA